GAAAGGTGCCATGGAGAAACATGTAAACTTGCTCAGATTTATTCTTATTTTTGAAGTGAAATATGTATTTATTTAGCCTCGTGTAATTAACCAACAACTTTCCTTGCTAATGAAACTATAAGAGTCACTTCTAACTTCACAATTGTGCCATTTCTAGGTTCTAACTTCACTATCATGATTCTTAATCTTACCAGATTGTTTTGGTGGGCTCATTGTCTTACTTGACTGTCAAGACGAGTTGGGCTTTAAGGCGTGTGTTTAATTCCTCAGGCTTTTGGTCCTTGATTTTGGGGTAAATTAGTAACCTTGATGAGAAGGGTACAAAAATTTGCTTTAGAGTAGGGTAGGGGTGGCCATTTCTGACACGATCTGAAAACACGACACGAATCTAACACGAAATTAATGGATTTGGGTTGAGGTTTCGCGGGTTCGGGTCAGAATCGGATTGAACCCGATGGACTCGAAAAGAAAACGGGTCGAATTTGGGTCAACTCGTGGGTGACTTGATATGACCTGATAACCCATTTATGAATAAAAAATAATTTAATAAACATACAAATTATTTTATCTAACTAAACTAAGTTATTTTTTTTCAAAGGCATTAATCACTTAATCCTAAATGAATTTATTTAACTTGTGTGAAGTTGAAATTATTATATTTGGACAAATAATGTATTATATTATTTTTTATTTTTATACTGTTTTAATTTATTTTATATTTGGTTTGGGATAAAACACTTTTACGGTGTTTTAATTTATTTTAGATTTGGTTTGAGATTATTTATTTAAATATTTATTACTTGATTATGTAATTAGTCTTGTACGAAATTGGTTTTATTAGAAATGACAGTGGTAAATTAATAAATTAAAATTAAATTTCGGATCATTTCGGGTCGACCCCGAAATTTTCGGGTTCGTGTTAAGTATTCTGACCCCGTTTCGGGTTGACAGGTCAGGTTCGGGTCAGCGGATTTTCTGTTATACCCGAGTCTCAACCCGACCCGCCAATCCGAAACGGACCCGATTACCACCCCTAGAGTAGGATCGCAAACGAATCGAACTGCTTGCGAGCAGCTCGAGTTCGAATTTGATTCGAATTCGATCAACATCAAGTTCAAATTGATCAAGTCGAACTCGAGATCAAAGATATTCAACTCGCGAGTCGGCTCGATTATATCTACATATATATATTATTTTAATAGTAAAATTACATATATATTCATAATATTTTATTATTTGTTAAAAAAATTTATTATTTTATTTATTTTTTAAAAATAAAATAATTATTTTTAAAATTTTTTAAAGGTCGAGCTTTACATTTTGAGTTCGTTGAGTTCAAGATTCATAAAATTAAGTTGAGACTCGATTTGATTAAGCCAAAATTCGATTCGACTCGACTCGACTCGTTTATACCCCTGCTTCGAAGTAGAATGTTAAACATATTTATTTACCAAACAAAAATCTTTGAATTTCTTATGGTACTGTTTGGAGGGTTTAAATAGCATTTTATTCTTCCAACTTCTTGTCTAAAAGACTATCTAATTTTCCTGATATTCCAAAACAAGGTTCGACTTATTAAAACTAATCAAGTCAAACATAAATAGTATTTTGTGTTAGGTAAAATTTCAAACTTGGCTCGAGCGGAAATCGAATTTAGACACAACTTTAAATTCGGTAAGCTAAGCAAACAAGTTTGTGCCAGTTATCATATGTTATGATCCAGTTGCAAGGTACGAGACTTGGATTTCACGTTAGAAATATGGGATTTAGATGTGGGAATTACATAATTTTAAATTCTCTCACTTGAACAGATAGCTTTTGAGGTAAGCTCTCTCAAGACTCTACATCCAGATCAATCACTTACCCAAATATCTTATTGTCATTAGCATAATCATTACCATCACCAGTTATACCAACATCTTCACATATGCCAAATTACATCTTCAAGCCCAGTTCAAAAAGGCTTCAAAGAGCGGTTTATGTATTAGAATTCTCCGTCTAGGGACTATAAAATGGGATTCATGTATTACATATAACATTTTCTTCAGAATATTTATTGTCTCCCTTTTGCACATGTGGCATAATGAGCAATATAAAATATAAAGGTTTATGTATTAGAATGATTCTTAACACATATCAAATATTTCTTTAGTACTGGGTTTGGGTTTATGAAATGGGATTAATTTACCTTCTACTTTGAATAGTGTACAATTGTTGTCTAACCCAAAAAAAATTAGTGTACAAAATTTAGAGGTGGCAAATCAACCAACTTAACTAAATTTACTCATACCCGCTGATAGGGATATAATTATGCATTTTATTTGTGGTTATTTGGTCTTAATTTTGGCAGTTTATTATGCAAAGTATTGAATTTCTGCTCATAATGGGTATTTGTGTTACTTATAGGCAATTGGTGTTAAAAGTGATAAAAAAGGGCAAATTCCAGAAGACTTTGTCTTCTCTGGCGTGCCCACGCCAGACAACACAGAGTTGCGTGAAAAGCCGGATTGCGGGTCCTATTCCTGGGGCCACCGCCTTTCCTTGGAGCCATACTTTAAACTTACGTGGGATTAGGAAATAGAATTGGAAGATGACTTTTGGTAACAATTCAATGGGGGAAAATGAAGCAAATTGTTTGAAGAAACCCACCTATTATTTCGGCTAGCAAAAAGGAAACGGCGGCGCAAACAATAAAAAGAAGACAGCAATAGACTAGGGATGGATTTTCGTCTTGGACTTTTTTTTCTCTGCTTTTGCTTGATCATTCCTGTGGCCTTGCGGCCGCACAACTTTTCACTGCGTTTTTCATTCAGCAAAAACTCCATGAAAACTCCGAATTGCTTCATCGTTATGTGGCAAGGCTAATTTCTTTTATCTAGTTGAGGAATTAATCAAGGATCGGGGGCACCATAACTGTGAGATCGTTTTAATTGTTTATTTTTAATTTATATGTTCATGGGTATTTGATTATTTTCTATTTTTTCTTGAGTTATTTTTGTTTAGATTTATTGGATAATTAGGCCTGTTATTCGATTGTCTAAATAATTGATAGCCAATTAGGATGTTGGCGCGTCGCCTTTAAGCGTCTTGATTAGTGGCAAACGAGACAATTGCACCGCCTCGCAAGCGGTCTAATTTGGATCGTGGGGATAATTAATCTAGCCTAAATAAATTCGCATATGTGTTTGTCATCTAGAATTGGGTCTTTCTAATTCCTAATGCTGTGGCTACATTAAATTCTGTGAGCGTTTCTGGGGTTGTCTAGTCACAAGAGGGTAGTTTATGAGCGTCTCTTGACTACCATAAAATTAAGGAAAGAATTGTGGTTGGGCGCGTCGCTTGACCACTATAACCAGTTTATTCGTGAATATATGAATTGTCCCTTGTATCTGTGATCAGTTGTGTGCTTCGATGCCAAGATTAATTCCTTGACTAGGTTGTTTTAATTAATTGCTATTTGTGTAATTTGGTTCCTGCTATCTTACTCAACTTTGAATTTTCATTTTTATTCCTTTTTAATTAGTTGGTATTATTGCTAAAAATTTCTCCCCATTTTTCTGTGTGATTTGCCTACCTGTTCCCTGAGGAGACGATCCTACTTGCCCTGTTTACAAATTAAATTTGAGATTGTGTTGGTTGGCAACTAGGCTGTTATTTTTAACTTTATTTTTGGAGGTTTGACAAACACCAAATTTTGGCGCCGTTGCCGGGGAACTGGTGTTTTAAGTGACTTATTGCACAGGCTTTAGTTTTTATTTTTATTTTTTATTTTATTTTATGCCTCGATCTTCTAGTACAGGAGAATTGGAATTTGATCCAAAGATCGAGAAGACTGCAAGAAGGTTGACCAAGGAGGCAAAGTTGCGTAAGCAACAAGATTCAACGTCACCTTCAGAATCTGAGCAAGAGTTTGTTTCCAGTGATTCATCAAGTGAATCTGAAGAAGAAGAAGTGCATATTCCCCGAGTAGCAATGGCAACCCCGAAAACTTTGAGGGAGTTGGCAACCGCTAACGTGAACCAACAGCCATTATGCATTACATTTCCTAACACGAAAGAGGCATTTGAGCTTAAATCTGGTCTTATTCACTTATTTCCTACTTTTCGTGGTATTGCAGGTGAAGACCCATATAAACACTTGAAAGAATTTCATGTGGTGTGCTCCACAATGAGACCTCAAGGAGTCACTGAGAACCACATCAAGTTAAGAGCGTTCCCTTTCTCTTTGGCAGATAAGGCTAAAGATTGGTTATTTTACCTGCCATCAGGATCCATCACTACGTGGGAAGAATTGAAGAGAAGATTTCTCGAGAAATTTTTCCCTACCTCTAGAGCCGCCAATATAAGGAAAGAAATATGTGGAGTTAGGCAGGCGAATGGGAAAACTCTATATGAGTACTGGGAGTGCTTTAAACAACTGTGTGCCAGTTGCCCACATCATCAAATCCCGGACCAGTTCTTAATACAATATTTCTACGAGGGATTATCACCCATGGATAGGAGCATGTTAGATGCAGCCAGTGGCGGCGCTCTGGTGAACAAGACCACAGACGAAGCCACGTTATTGATCTCCACCATGGCTGAAAATTTCCAACAATTTGGAGTGAGAGCTGATGGAGAAATAAGAAGGGTCAATGAAGTGAATCACTCTGACTTAGAGGGTAAACTATCTGAGCTTACCTCTCTGGTGCGTCAAATGGCAAGGGGGCAATTACAATATGTGAAGACTTGTGGTATCTGTGCTGCTCCCGGACACATGACTAACATGTGCCCAACTCTCCAGGAGGATTCACCTGAACAAGCCAACATAGTGAGAGATTTTTCTAGACCACCTCCACGAAGGAATGATATTTTTGCACCCAATTACAACCCAGGGTGGCGAAATCATCCTAATTTTAGCTATGCTTCAAAATCCCCTGATTTTCAACAACATTTCCAACCACGGTCACCAGTGCAAAACCATCCACTTCCAATTCAAACATATCTCTTGAAGATATGGTGATGTCACTGGCCCAAAGCACGAGTCAATTACAGCAAGAGGCTCAAAGATCTCAACAGGAATCTCATAGATTTCAACAAGAGACTCGTGCTAGCATTAGGAATTTGGAAGCACAAATGTCCCAATTGGCAAGTTCCATGAGCAACCTGAAAAATAGCAATAGAGGGAAATTACCATATCAAGTAATTCCTAATCCCAAGGAGAATGCCTGTGCAATGCAATTACGGAGTGGCAAGGAGGTACAGTTTCCTAGGCGTGCCCACGCCAGAGAAGAAGAAGTGCGCAGGAAGGTGGAAGAGGAAGAAGAGAAACAATCCTCTGAAATCTCAAAGAAAGTTGACATTCCTCCTCCTTTTCCTAGCAGGTTTACAAAAGCTAAAAAGGAAGAATCTGAGAAAAAGATTTTGGACACCTTCAGGAAAGTGGAGATCAATATTCCTCTGCTGGATGCTATTAGGCAATTGTCTAAATATGCTAAATTTTTGAAGGGCTTATGCACTAATCGCAATAAGTTGAGTCTGGATGACAAGGTGAAGGTGGGGGAGAATATCTCAGCGATGTTTCAAAGGAAGTTGCCCCAGAAATGCAAAGATCCAGGTATGTTTACTATACCATACATAATTGGCAATCAAAGAATTGAAAAAAGCATGCTTGACTTAGGTGCTTCAATAAATGTCATGCCTCTTTCAATTTTTAAAATTTTGAATTTAGGACCCCTCAAAGAAACTAGGATAATCATTCAACTAGCAGATAGGTCTAATGTCTACCCTGAGGGTCTAGTTGAAAATGTTCTAGTAAAGGTCAATGAATTCATTTTTCCTGTGGATTTTTACATTGTTGATATGAATGATGAATACTCTACTAATTCAGCAGTGATTCTTTTGGGTAGACCCTTCATAAGTACAACAAGGACTAAAATAGATGTACATGAAGGAACTTTATCTGTGGAATTTGATGGAGAGAATGTCACTTTCAATATTTTTGATGCAATGAAACATCCTGTGGATACTGAGTCTGTAAATTTTGTTAGCATGACTAACACCATTCTGCAAGAGAATTTTGAACAGAATTTCATGGGGGACAAGTTGGACTTTGTCTTACAACAAGGCAAGACCAATTTGGAAGTGGACGACATAGAGGAGGAGGAAGTCAAAGAAGCTATCATGTCCTTACATTCACTACATCCGCTTCCAGGCAGGTTTGAAAATTCTTTTCTACCATTACCCACTTCTAATGAAAGAATTCTACCTTCTGTTGAACAGGCACCTAATGTGGAATTAAAGGAATTGCCCGAGCGTTTGAAATATGTTTACTTGGGAGATAACAAGACTTTGCCTGTAATCATTGCCAATGATTTAACTGCGTTGCAAGAAGAGAGGCTCTTACGGGTCTTACGGGAATTTAAACCAGCAATTGGATGGACGTTAGCAGACATCAAAGGCATCAATCCATCCATTTGCATGCATCACATCCTTTTGGAGTCGGACGCAAAACCCGTGAGAGAGCATCAACGCAAGCTCAATCCCGCAATGAAGGAGGTGGTGATGAAAGAGATTCTCAAACTCTTAGAATTAGAAATTATTTTTCCTATCTCTGACAGCCAGTGGGTAAGTTCAGTCCATGTTGTTCCCAAGAAGACTGGAATCACATTGGTGAAAAATGAAAAGAATGAGTTAGTGCCAATGAGATTGCAAAATGGGTGGAGAATGTGCATTGACTTTAGGAAGTTAAATGCCGCAACTAGGAAAGATCACTTTTCACTCCCATTTATTGATGAAATGCTTGAGAGGTTGGCAGGTAAGTGTTTTTTTTACTTTTTAGATGGTTACTCTGGATATTATCAAATTATTGTTGCTCAAGAGGACCAAAATAAAACCACTTTTACCTGCTCTTTTGGAACTTTTGCATATCGCTGTATGCCTTTTGGTTTGTGTAATGCTCCTGGAACATTTCAAAGAGGCATGATGAGTATTTTCTCTGATATGATTGATAATTGCATTGAAATTTTCATGGATGATTTTACAGTATATGGTGATTCTTTTGATCAGTGCCTAGACCATTTAACAAAAGTTTTGAAAAGATGCATTGAAACAAACTTGGTTCTTAATTATGAAAAATGTCATTTCATGGTTAAGGAAGGCATAGTTTTGGGCCATGTTGTTTCATCAAGGGGTATTGAGGTAGATAAGGCTAAAATTGATTTGATCACTAGTCTACCTTGCCCTACTAATGTCAAGGATATTCGTAGTTTTCTAGACCATGCAGGTTTTTACAGGTGTTTCATAAAAGATTTTTTAAAAATTGCTCAACTGTTGTCTCGCTTGCTTCAAAAGGAGGTGCCATTCAACTTTGGAAATGATTGCAAATTGTCCTTTGACACACTCAAGGGTATGTTGACCACGACACCAATCATCCAACCCCCAGACTAGAAGCTATCCTTTGATCTCATGTGTGACGCCAGTCAGTATGCCGTAGGAGCTGTGTTTGGACAACGGAGTGGGAAGTGTAGTCACGTGATATACTATGCGTCAAAAATATTGACACCAGCGCAATGCAACTACACCACCACGGAGAAAGAGCTTCTAGCTATTGTTTTCGCTTTTGAGAAATTTAGATCATATCTATTGGGGTCAAAAGTAACGGTTTACTCTGATCATGCAGCTTTGAAATATATCCTGTCCAAAAGGAGTCCAAGCCAAGACTCATTCTTTGGGTGCTCTTACTGCAAGAATTTGACTGGGAGATCAAGGATCGGAGAGGGGTGGATAATTCAGTAGCTGACCATTTGAGTAGATTGATAAGGGAAGAGGAAGCAGTTCTCATATCTGAGGTATTTCCTGATTAACATCTTTTCTATCACAAAGGTAAGGAACCTTGGTATGCAAATATTGTGAACTTTTTGGTCAGTCATAAATTTCCTATTGGCATGAGTAAGAGTAAGAGGGATAAGATAGTCCATGATGCTCGATACTACATTTGGGACGAGCCATATTTGTAGAAAATAGGCTCTGATCAAATTATTTGTAGATGTGTACCTGAAAGTGAAATTCCTTCTATCCTTGCTCATTGTCATAATTTTGCATATGGTGGCCATTTTGGACCTAAGAGAACTGCTAGAAAAATCCTTGATTGTGGCTTTTATTGGGAAACATTATTTCGTGATGCTTATGCATTTTGTAAAAACTGTGAAAAATGTCAAAAATTTGGAAGTTTGTCTCATAGGGATGAAATGCCTCAAGTGCCTATGTTATTTTGTGAAGTATTTGATGTTTGGGGTATGGACTTTATGGGACCTTTTCCTAGCTCTTTTGAATTTTTGTATATTCTGTTAGCAGTTGACTATGTATCGAAATGGGTAGAAGTAAAGGCTACCCAGACTAATGATTCTCAAGTTGTTGTAGGATTTCTCAAATCCGACATTTTTAGTAGGTTCGGGGTGCCGAGAGCCATCATCAGTGATCAAGGTACCCATTTCTGCAATCGCACCATTGCAACTCTCATGAAAAAATATGGAGTGCACCATCGTGTGAGTACAACATATCATCCTCAGACTAATGGGCAAGTTGAAGTCTCCAATCGAGAGATCAAGAGCATATTGGAGAAAACGGTTAACCCCAACCGTAAGGATTGGAGCTTGCGATTGGATGATGCTTTGTGGGCATATCGAACGGCGTATAAAACGCCCATTGGAATGTCCCCATATAAGTTGGTGTTTGGTAAGATGTGTCCTGTGACTATTGAGCATCGTGCATTCTGGGCAGTCAAGCAATGCAATTTGCATGCGGATAGAGATGGCAAAGAGAGAAAGCTCTAACTCCAGGAGTTGGAGGAAATTCGTCTTGAAGCATATGACAATGCACGTTTGTACAAAGAGCGTACCAAGCAGTTTCATGACCGCCTATTGCGTGCGAAACACTTTTCTCCAGGACAAAAGGTACTCTTGTTCAATTCACGGTTGAAATTCATGCCAGGTAAGTTAAAATCTCGTTGGATTGGACCATATGTGGTAGTCAATGTTTTTCCCAATGGTGTGGTTGAAATCCAGAGTTTAGAGACTAATAAGAGTTTTACAGTTAATGGTCATCGTTTAAAACTGTTTGTTGATGTTTCAGACATTGGCACTGTGGAAGAGATACACTTGATAGATCCTATCTATGCCTAATTGCTCACTGTGGAGTCGTCTAACCAAAGACGTTAAAGAAAGGAGTTTCTTGGGAGGCAACTCAAGACCTCCATTTTTTGTTATAGTTCTCTTTCATTTTTCGTTGATTTTGGGTTGTTTTGTTTCATTGCCAGTGTTTTTTTTTCTTTTTTTTTTTGTGTTGGGCAGGAGACTTGGATTTACAAGGCATGCCCACGCCCTATAAGTGATGCTCTTGAACACCGTAGAAATGCTTGGGCAGAAGACTCTGCCTTATAAGGCGTGGTCACGCCCTATAGCAACGCTAGTCCACTCTGGGGACACAGGCTTGGATTGAAGACTTCCTCTTCCATCTGAGGCAACGCTACACCACACCACCGTCGGAGGCTCCACGTTACCAGTCCCTGACACCTCCTCTACCATGGTGTTTTGCTGCAGTTTTTATTCATTCAGGGAAGTTTTTTGCTCCCTTCACTTGATTTCAACTTTTCATTCTTACATTGAGGACAATGTAGACCTTAGGTGTGGAGGGAGTAGTCTAGCTTTTCCTTCTTACTGCTTTTCCTTCTTAAAAAAAAAAAAAAAAAAAACTTTTACCATGCCTTTTGGATTTTTATGGTTACCCCTGCTAAGCAATGGCTAAATTTTCAAATTTAACTATTGTTACGGTTTTAGATGATAATATGTTAAGTATGATATGTTAAAATTTTAGGATGACTCTCTGGTAAATATTTGAGATTTGGTGACTCTTGCAATTTCTCTTGATTAACTTTTCTAGGCATTGTAAATATTTTTCTGATATTTTTGTGTGAACTGGTTCAACTATTAATCTTAGTTCTCCATGTTAAGGAAATGAAGCAGGCTTGCATGGTTTTAATTTTACTTGGGTCTTTATTTGTGAATAACATTCGGCTATACTCCGCTGGTTATCATTGACTAGTAACCGGGGGTCTTCACCTAAAGTGTCGATTTTCGAGTCAAAAAGCAGCGATAACTATGAGTATGTGGTCTTTAAGCAGTTAAAGTTGAGTAACCGGGCTCCTTCATTGGAGAGATGTCGGAGTTCGCGTCAAAAAGACTTGAATGGCTCAAGACTTAACACTTCCTTCAAGAAGAAAAAAGAAACAGAAAAAAATGAAAATGATGAAAAAAAAAAGAGTATACGAGCATGAAAGTATGTGAATAATTGTATTGCCTGCGGATCCATGAGTCTTTATGTTGAGATTTTGCTTAATAGTTGGACCAGTTATTAAAGAATGTTGGTTGGATATTTTCTATTCTTAGATTAGTTAGTCTGGATTTGAAAGAGTCATTGGTTTTAAAAGCTAGTTGGAGACTTATCTCGTAAAATTTGTCATCAGTACTTGACAGTTATCTAAATCATACATTGGCAATAGTTGCTTTGATTAATAGCCATTGTTTTGAATTCAACTGCTGCAAAAATGTTTGCTCGTTGGGTTGTGTATTTAAAGTTTGAAATGCTTGAGGACAAGCATTGGCTTGGTGTGGGGGAATTTGATAGGGATATAATTATGCATTTTATTTGTGGTTATTTGGTCTTAATTTTGGCAGTTTATTATGCAAAGTATTGAATTTCTGCTCATAATGGGTATTTGTGTTACTTATAGGCAATTGGTGTTAAAAGTGATAAAAAAAGGGCAAATTCCAGAAGACTGTGCCTTCTCTGGCGTGCCCACGCCAGACAACGCAGAGTTGCGTGAAAAAGCCGGATTGCGGGTCCTATTCCTGGGGCCACCGCCTTTCCTTGGAGCCATACTTTAAACTTACGTGGGATTAGGAAATAGAATTGGAAGATGACTTTTGGTAACAATCCAATGGGGGAAAAGGAAGCAAATTGTTTGAAGAAACCCACCTATTATTTCGGCTAGCAAAAAGGAAACGGCGGCGCAAACAATAAAAAGAAGACAGCAATAGACTAGGGATGGATCTTCGTCTTGGACTTTTTTTTCTCTGCTTTTGCTTGATCATTCCTGTGGCCTAGCGGCCGCACAACTTTTCACTGCGTTTTTCATTCAGCAAAAACTCCATGAAAACTCTGAATTGCTTCATCGTTATGTGGCAAGGCTAATTTCTTTTATCTAGTTGAGGAATAAATCAAGGATCAGGGGCACCATAACTGTGAGATCGTTTTAATTGTTTATTTTTAATTTATATGTTCATGGGTATTTGATTATTCTCTATTTTTTCCTGAGTTATTTTTGTTTAGATTTATTGGATAATTAGGCTTGTTATTCGATTGTCTAAATAATTGATAGCCAATTAGGATGTTGGCGCGTCGCCTTTAAGCGTCTTGATTAGTGGCAAACGAGACAATTGCACCGCCTCGCAAGCGGTCTAATTTGGATCGTGGGGATAATTAATCTAGCCTAAATAAATCCGCATATGTGTTTGTCATCTAGAATTGGGTCTTTCTAATTCCTAATGCTGTGGCTACATTAAATTCTGTGAGCGTTTCTGGGGTTGTCTAGTCACAAGAGGGTAGTTTATGAGCGTCTCTTGACTACCATAAAATTAAGGAAAGATTGGTGGTTGGGCGCGTCGCTTGACCACTATAACCAGTTTATTCGTGAGTATATGAATTGTCCCTTGTATCTGTGATCAGTTGTGTGCTTCGATGCCAAGATTAATTCCTTGACTAGGTTGTTTTAATTAATTGCTATTTGTGTAATTTGGTTCCTGCTATCTTACTCAACTTTGAATTTCCGTTTTTATTCCTTTTTAATTAGTTGGTCCTATTGCTAAAAATTTCCCCCCATTTTCCTGTATGATTTGCCTACCTGTTCCCTGAGGAGACGACCCTACTTGCCCTGTTTACAAATTAAATTTGAGATTGTGTTGGTTGGCAACTAAGCTGTTATTTTTAACTTTATTTTTGGAGGTTTGACAAACACCACCCGCCCATGAATAGATGGGTATGGGTATCTTAAATTTTTGTATATGGGTATAAATGGGTTACCCAATAATACCAATTTAATAAATGGGTATTATTGGGTAACCCATCAAATCTAATTAACCCATTTAAAATTCTCTTCCCCTAAATCTCTTCTTTTCCCCCACCCATTTTTTTTTCAAATTTTTCATTTTGTCATGATGTTAACTACTTTTGTTTCATTATTATTATTGTTTGTTGGTTTTATTTTTTTATTTTGTTTTCTCTTAGTTTGTTAATTTGCTCATTTTTCGGCATTACCAATTTATGATAAATTTGAGCCTCTTTTCTTATCTTTCTAAAATGAAAATTTAAATTTATATATGGAAAAAATGTTAGGGGTTAAAAATTTTTGGATTAACTTTTATAGTACTTAGTTCAAATTTTTATATTCTTATTATTCAATTATTAAATAATTTGTAATTTTGTGAAATAGAGTATAAATGAAAAAAATTTGGTAATTAGGCTTATTGAACATTATAAGTAAATATTTAAAACTAATGATGGGTACAAAAAGCGGTATAAATTGATAACTTAGTTTGCAAAAATGAATTTAAATGAATTTACAAAAAATTAAAATAAATGGGTTATAAATGGGTAATTGGGTTACCCAATTCATTTTTGACTTACCCATTTATACCCATCTAATTAAATGGGTATAAATGGGTTGACTCACTTATACCCATTACCCATTTTACCCAACCCAAACCCGCCTAAGTCACCCATTTTGACACCTCTAACAAAATTCATGGTGAGATATATGATATTGACAATCGATTCTAGAAATTATATTGAACAAATTATGATGAACTATTGCATATATTTATATTTAAAAATTTTAATACAACTAGAGGTGGTAAAATAGGTGATTCGGATGGATTTGGACAAGTCATAATTGGATAATGGATATAATTAGGTCAACTTATTTATACCCATTTAATAAATGGGTTAAAATGAGTCAACCTATGTACCCTTTTAAGAAATGGGTATAGATATACCCAATTACCCTATACCCATTTATGACTCAATTGAAATTCTATTTTTTTTCTACATGTTGTTTGACAAGAAATAATATTTTATTGTCATTAGATTGGCAGGAAATTTAAATTTACTTGCTTAACAGCCAATAAAAATTGAGTTCAAATATATAATTATTTTGAATGGATATAAATGGATGAGTCGAGTCAACTTATTATGCATCAAATAAATGGGTTTAATTGGATATTTATTTAGTCCCATTCAAAATTTATTGCATACCCAAATTCACTTGCTAATGGATGGGTTTGGGCGGATCAATTTAATTAGATTGTAGTTGACTGCTCTAAATATAACCTATGTTATACTATCTTTACAATATATAATGCTAGAGGACCATTTTGTGGTGTAACTACACACTGTCATTTTGTGAGGTTCCTATTTTACTCTTAATTATAAGGGTAAAGTAGTCCCAATATATTGCAAGACAACCCCACAATTACCACATAATTACCAATTCACATTATCCACTAATTACCACTCTCTCACTCCAACTCCCACGTTTATTTATTCCACTCAACTTCCTTTTTTTTTTCCTCCTAAAGCAACTTCTTCTTCCTATGCCATTACCCGGAGGAGAACTCCACTAATTCCTTTGTAGATATTGATATAGTTTGATACCAATATTTCAAATATTAATAAAGGACTGTGATAGAAAATAAAAACTTTATAAGGACATAATTTTTAT